TTTGTCTTTTTAAAGTTCCAAATCAAGAAACAGCCAAACATAAAATTGGGAAATGTAATGTATTTGCAGAACAATATGCAAAAGAGATGTATAATTAAATGCTATAGTATGAATGCAAAAAAAGGAAGGAAGGGAGGGAGGAAAGGAGGGATGGATCAGGCAGATCTTTCCCTTTGTGAGGTAAATTTTACTGCATAGTACCTAGTGGAGATAATCCAGTGTACCCATCATTTAGAATTGTTTCCCTTCTCCTCAGTTCTCAGACAGTGCTCTACATCCAGCTCTAAGGACTGCACTTTAAGAAAAACAGCAGTTCACCCAAAGTAGAAAATATTTGATGGTATTGAAAATCTCAACCAATACAGATTAACTGAAATAACTACATATTATCCTAGAGACTGTAAGAGTTGCTACATGTAAAATAATCTTGCATAAAGCAATAAGGCAAAAATATTTTGCATAAGGCATAAGGCAAAAATAAGGCTAAAAGTATTATAGAAACAAATAGCATAGTTCAATTTAAGAGTCATTATGCTCAGAACTTGTCAATAAAGACCTACTATATTCAAGATGAGTCTTGACAAATAATTATCCAAAATTGACTTTAACAATCCTAATTTGAATTAGAAATTATGGTCATCTGCTACTAATGAAGAATGAGGAAGATCTGGGTAGACTAGAAAACCAAGAAATATCAAGAACATGTACTGTGGAGAATATGATTCAGAATGAACCAAGAACAAATGACTTTGTAGCTCTATCAATCAGCTCTTACACTAGAGATGAAGTGGATCAACTAGACACAGCTGTGTTACCTTCTTGTCCACTAAATCCCAGCAAGGAAGGCAGAGCAGACAGTCAGAGAAAGCTGAAGTTGGGAAGATAAGAGTCTGTTGGGTCAAGGAAGAGACAGACATTGGAGCAGACCTGAAATTGCTGTCCAAGGTGAGTATCATAAAAAGAGGGAAACATCAGAGAAATGGGGGTAGCCAGGAAACAAAAATGAGAGGAAGGTGGTAGGTGGCAATAAGTTAGTAAAACACTGGAAGAAAAGACGTTGTAGTCAGAAAAGGAATACAGCCCTATCGGATTTTTCAGTTGGGTTTTCTGAGTGATGAGAAGACCCAGGGTAGAAGAGTGCCTGAGCAAAGGGAGTTAAAGTTATATAGTGAAAGCCACACATGTGCATGTTGAAGCAAGTCCTGAACAACATGGCAGGTTGAAATGTACAAAGAAAACCCCTGTTATTTTAAATTCTCAAGGAAAGAGAAACATTGGAGATTACCAGTGTCAATAGGTACTGGTAAAGAAGCAGCATAGCAATAATGAAGGTTGTAAACATAGAGAAACTTAAATATTCAGTGATAGAAACACCAGCTTCCAAACAGATCTGACAAAATGTAAATGTGAGAGAAGAGCACAGAGAAGGGTCACTTCTCTTCAAAGCATGACATTCCACATAAGCTTATGACAATACATTGTGCTTTACATCATATTTGTGAATGAAATAACCTATAGCATCAAGAGACATAAATTCTTAATTCAATAATAAGGACAGCACTAATTAGCTCATTAGACACATACTGTGTAGGCAAGCACTCTTAATCTAAGGATGAGGACCTGAGGGAGATCTGAGTTTGGAAGGAGTTGCAGATGTTTTAGCAGGCATTGTCTGTGTAATGTGGCATAACAGAAGAGGATACAGGGAGGTAGGTTAACTACAGGGGGAAAATGCAGGATCATGATTGAGTTGGCCTCACTTTCTTTCCCAGGTCTTCACTCCTAAAGGTATTGTCTTTTGTTGACTTCCTGCTGAGTCTTACTATGGCAAGACCTGGGGAGTTGGTATGTGAATTAGTTAGAGTTGGCTTCAATTTTATAAAAAGGAAGGTTTGTTTTAGTAAAAGTTTATTAATGGCCAGAAAGCATGCCAGGTAAGAGAAGTCAATAACTGTAAGCGGCAAGAGTCACATTTCTGTGGCAAGGCCAACCAGGCCCCAGAGCTGTTCGGTTTTAAAAAGTAGTATTCTGTGAGCTGAGGAGAAGCTGGCCCTAAATTCCTTCACTCCTCCCAAATAATTCTACTTGTATTCTAAACTCCCCCAGGCTGTAGGAACATAAAATCTGCTAACCTGAACTCAAGGGAGAGGAAAAAAAAAATGAAATAGGTGAGGTATTTCAAAACTGCTCTAAAAGAAAATTAAAAAAAAAAAAAGCAACATATGATTCAGGAAGGCAAAGAAATAGCCCCCACCACAACAAATCAACTAGTTTATGGGCAAGTAAACTGGTTCAACAAAAGAACTAAACATTGCCAAAAGCTCTTCCTGTATTAGGTCAAGATGAAGACACTCAAACCAACTGTAGACACTTAACAATTGCAGAATGAATCTAGTTGGAATCTGTAATACCTTAAAAAGAGAAATCTCTGGTCTATACATGCACAGAAAATAATAAACAGGAATGCCTAGAAAAGTTGCTTGGATGAATATTTCTAATTGAGTAACATAAAAACAGTGCTATGAAAGCAAATAAAAGAAAAGCCAAGGAGCTTCCCAGTGAATGTGACATAAAGTCCTTCTGAATTCCCTTTTCCTCCAAATGTTTTCCCACCATAACTTACCTTTGACTTGTTTTATCCAAACAGCATTTATCTTTCCACTCCCTGTCACTTTGTAAGACTAATTTGATATTTATCTACTTCTGAAAAAAGTTTAATTAGGGATTTGGGGGCACAGATCATGCTATCTTAAACTGACCTGTAAACAAAATCAGTAGTATACCCCACCACAATCATTAATTGCTAGAAAATGTAAATAGAGGAATAAACTTTCATATGGTTTCTTACAAAATTCAAACTTACACATATCTTAATGGTTCAAGAAAAGTAATGTTAACTAACGACTTAATTTTTGTGAAGTTTGAAAAATATCTAATTAAAATATCTGGAAAATTTAATTTCCAAAATATTTTATTGGTATAGAATTCACCAAAATTTAATTTGAATGTTTTCACTTAGTTTATAGTGAAATGTAATTATTAAAACAGCTTTTCAAAATGTCTTAAAACAAGGTCATCTAATAAGTCATACTTATGAGATACAAAGTCTAAGCACTGTGAAGTTTTCCACACTTCATTTTCTGTCATTTGAGAATGAATATATTGTCATCCTCAAATGACAGAAGTCTACCTTAAATGTGTTGGTTTGTACATGAACATTTAGAAATAGAGCCTTTGTGGAATTGTTTATATTCCACACACTATGAAACACTGTATCAAGTACAAGTAGTTCATATTTCACTTGGATCCTATTTTTATTTTGTCATATACTAGAAAGACCTACAAAGCAGGAGGTACCCATGTTTCCATTACAAATTTCTACTAAATAAACTCACTGAACCAAGTTTGCTAACTAACACATTTAAAAACAAATGAGTTTTCTTCTATGAAATGTTTAACTATTGTAACACAATTCTGGAAGTTTTGTTACTACTCCATGCCAGCAAACTTCATATGAAGTCTGTTGTTTTGACAATAAAAAGTGTGGATTACATGTTTTAATTCTGCAGTTCCTGTTTTTGCATTGGGTCATGGGTCTCTTTGTAGTCTAGGAAGTCCTTTCTACCACCTTAAAAATGCAGCAATTCAAATATTTGAGAACAACTTCTGGGACTTTGAAATCCCTGAAACAGATTCACAGATCCATTCGTTTTAATAATGAACAAAACATACACAGCCTCCCTCCACCAAGGAAGTAGTACAATAAATATATGACTTTTTGACAAATTAAGCCTTGCTCTAGAATTCTAGATACTCTTATTGTTATATTGTTGCTATTACCGATCTCCACCACTCTTCATTGGATAGTACTTAAAATGAGCACTACTGAAGGAAGAAAAAAAGCCACTTCAAGAAAAGCAAGATATAAAAATTGATATTCCTGATTAAGTGCCTCACTGCTTGTGTAGGTAACAAGAAGGTCAACGGTGTTTTTACCAAGACCTGTGCTAGTATGTGTCTACACATTAAATGAAATCACTACTTTAGTACACATCATAAAAAAATCACTAATGATATGTTATAAATGAAGCCCAAATTGGAAAAAAAAAAAAAGCTATCCTTAAAGTCTAGCAGGTTTTCAGTATGTTGGAAACTAAGATGCCTCAAACCAGTCACGTAAGTGAGCTCTACAGTGTTCTGGCTTACTTCAGAAGATGTAAACTGTTTATCAAATGCAAAATAAAGGAACAAGCATGTGAAACCCAGTAAGCAAGAGAAAAGCTCACAATAGCCACAGCCTAGAATCACGTGACCACACTGCCAAGCAGCCCCTCGCACAAATGCCACGCTGAGGCACTCCGCGGACAGGGTGCAGGCTGCCCAGGCAGAGGCGCGCGCATTGATGGTGGGGACCCCTGTGCCACAGTCGACACTGGACTCTGAATGGGACAGAAGCACGCACGCGTGCGCTTTGCTGGAGCCCAGGCGGCCCGCTCCAAGTTTGCAGGCTGCTGACCAGGCGAACCGCGACCGTGCGGGACGCAGCGCAAGAGGAAGGCGAATCGCTTACCACGCCGCAGCCCGCGGGACTAAGCCAAATCCGGGCATGGCACTGCCACCAGCCCCGCGGGCTCTGAGGTGCAGGCGTCCTTGTATTGCTCCGCTGGCCCTCCAGGCGCTGGAGGCCGCGGCTCTGCGCGGAGCAGGCTGGCTCGCCTGCCCCGCGCCCTGGCGTGGGAGCGCAGCGGCCCCGCGCGTCCCGCACGTTCTCACGGCGCGGCCCCGCGCGCCCCTGTGCTCCGCCCTCGGGCCCCGAACCTGCCCCGCCTCGGCTGCCTCCCTTCTCCGCAGCGTGGGAACCGAGCTCCGGCTCTCTCCTGAGCTGGCCAGCCGGAAGCGCCAGGACAGCGTCCCAAGAGAAGAAGAGGACGAGCCCCCGCCAAAGGGCTGCGACGACCCTCGTGGGGCCCCATCCGCTTGGGTGCGCCGCGATCACTTACTGGGTGGCTTCCCAGACCTCAGGGCTGCGTTTCCAGGTCTCCAGCAGCTCCAAAGCACGCCTCGCAAATCTGCACTGCAAACGCAGAGAAGAGAGCGGGTTGGGGGCGTCAGCGGCGCGAGGCGTTGGCGGGAGTGGGGACCCTGCAGTGGCACCTGTCTGTCCCCGCAAGAGTGCGCCGGGGCTCACACAGTGTCGGCGCTCACACTGAGAGCGCTCGGTCAACCTGCTCAACAGGCTGGGCGGGACGCGACGTGCCTCGGAAAGCTGATGGCCCTTGGTCCCCGAGATGCTCGATCACTGCTTGCCTTTGTTTCTCCCTTGAGTGTCTCGGCAGCGCTCCCTTTGATGACCCCAGACAATCCCTTGCGGTTCCTTTCCGTACGCATTTTTCAGATCTCTCCTCTACTTCCCCCTTCTCGTACTGAAAGACTGAAAAAGAAAGTAGCTGCTAAAACCTACCATAGCGAGGTCACGCAAGGCCCTGGTCACTCCGCTGCAGACAGTACGCGCTCCCTTGCAGGTGCCCTTCGCCTAGAGTCGCCCCCCAGCAATGCTGGTTGCTTTCGGTCTCGGGGTCTAACGCAGGGAAAGTATGGGAAAGCTGCATGGCAGCCTGCTGGTGGAAAACTGGCTGCGCCGAGTCCCACCCACTACTCCCAGACTAGGGCAGGGGAACCGAGTCTCCGCTCTCTGCAGCTGCCCAATCGCCATCCTACAAATTACTTCGGGGAGACAGACACCAAGGGAAGGGGACAAAGGAGGAGCAAGGGAAAAGAGGGAGGGGATTCGAGGAAATTTTGGCACACATAAAAACCAAAACACAAACATTTTCCCCAGTATGCACTAGTCCGGAATAGCTGTAGTTTTCCATAACGAAAAACTGCAACATGTCTCCTGGGAAGTTGATATCCCCTTGACTGGGTTTCTTGTCCCCGATTTCAGGTTTGAAGCGAACCTACTCCTTGCCAAATAGAACTCTATGGTTGCAGAAATTTTGTCTTTTGAGTAAGGTACCACTTATGCTTGACTCAGTATGTTTAATTCTGTTTTTTAACATATATGTGAGAGTGTGTTCTGGTATTGTTTTGAGTTGCCTTTCTGACATAAAATAATTCGATTTGTGCCTTTTCATTGTGAAGTCACAATGCATCCTGATCTCTTTGGGATCTTTCTTTAAATCCAGAAAATCTGAGACAAATTGCTCATGGTACCTTCCTTATATATACTTGCTTCCCAAACCACCATCCATTTTGGTCCCATTTTAGGCTTAACACATTTGCAAACATTTTTGCTTGCCTGCTATGTTCACCTCTGAGCAAACATCAATGAGAATCAGACACACACACACACACACACACACACACAGGATGTAAGTAAGTCAGGAACAGAATTAGGAGACTCCACAGTACAAATGCAGGTAGCTATAGAAACTTTTACCTTAGTACCCTGCAGAACTTCACAGCTGTAAGGCTGCATTTTAATTTGTTTTCTGCCACCTCAGAAAAGTCTCTTCATCTGCTTGTAATCCACCCTGCTTTCTCAGAACACTAGAACATTTGTACTCAGAGTACCTCAAATTTAAACACAGAAATTGACTCAAAAAGGCAGCAGTTATGTTATTCTTAAAAGTAAATTAAATATGAATTGTTCAGAGGAAGAGATATCTTCTTACAGGGGAAATAGTTCCTAAAGGAATGTTAGATCTTGAGGGATTTGTTCATATTTAGAAAAGGATGAGCTAGAGGAAGTTGATTTTTTTTTTTCCAAGCAGTAGGAAACTCATGAGCCAAAGATATGATAGGGGAAGGTTTAGCACTAACATTCAGGAATGAGTAAGTGAATACCATCAAGCAGAAGTGAAGGGTACAGAAAGGAAAGTGTAGGAAAGACATGGAGACTGGCTGAGGCTGTTTGCAGGTCCTCTATTTGTCATGAGTTGTACAAATACCTTTGGTGGTGTTATTTCCCCTAGTAACTTTACTGTCATCAAAATTCCATTCATTCTGGAATAGGACTTGCTTATTTCATTCATTTTTGCCTTTATCATCCTTAAGTTTTATACTATACTAAATTCTCTGGTAAGTACTGAACATAAGTTCCAAGTACTCTAAGAACTAAGAGCTCCTTGATATTACAGCAAAATCTTTGCAACCTAACTAAGTGCCTAGCAATGAATGTGGTTTATAATGGGGATTCCATAAAATGACTGTTGAGTGGAAAATGATACCTGTATATTCTATCCTGTTCCAGGCCCATTTTTCTGTCTTATGATTGAATCATATGCTAAAGCCTGCTTATCTCCACTTTATTAAAAATAGGAAAGTTGTCATGATAACACAAATATTAATAAGGACAATTATTCTGTGTAAAGTGACTCTCCAATAGCTTTGCTGGTTGTGTTTCTTTTCAAATGCTTTATTCTTTGTGTGTCTACAGCTGACAGTAGAACAGATGTACAGTCTTTTCACAGTTGTAGATGAAGGGATAATGGCAAGCAAAGGTGTGATTTCAGTCCTTGTTACTCACGGTGTGGTATGTGCCTTAGTGACATTAGCATGGCTTGGGATCTTGTTAGAGGCCCCTCCTCAAACAAACTGAACCTAAATAAGCATTCAACAAAATCCTTAAGTGATTCCAAATATTTAAGTTTGAGAAGCACTAATATAAAATCAACTCATGCTAAAATATTAAATCCTGGGATTTCATTTACCATCTTCAAATTCTGGGGTTGCTATTGCCATATCTGTCTGAAAAATCTAATGGGACTAATAGGTTCATTTCTATTGACTTCATGGACCCTAACAACTTCATAAACTGAGAATTAAGAGACAGTGATTACTTTATTTTTAGTAAACAAACCACTGATTGTACCATTTACCAAATCATATATAGACATTCACAAGGCAGTTTGAGCTTGAAAAGATTCTGATGGTGACAGGCATGTTGTACAGTATTACTTACTAAAGAGATGCTATTTATTAGGGGTAAATAAAGTAGGTGCTCACATGATAATTCTCAAAACCTGTGACTGTGCTACATGCTATAAGGAGAATTAAAGATGAAGATGGAATTAGAGTTGTTAATCAATCGTCCTTGACTTAAAATTAGCCCCGATTTTCTGGGTGGACCCAGTGGATTCATATGGGTCCATATAAAGGAAAGGAGGAATAGAGTCAGTGTTAAATCAGTCAGAGCGATGCCATGGAGAAAGACTTGAGGATGGAATGTGGCTTATCAGAAGAATGCAGCCAGCCTCTGGATGCTGGATATGGCTAGGAAATTATTCTCCCTCAGAGTCTCCGGAAGGAAAAGCAGCCCTGCCATCACCTTAGTTTAAGTCTAGTGAAACTCATTTCTGACTTCTTACTTCCACAAATATAAGATGATGAATTTGGGTTGTTTTTAGCACTCTTTGGGGGTAATTTGTTATAGCAGTGAGGGACAACTAGTAGAGATTTTGATACTGGGAAGTGGGTGCTGTTCTAATATATATCTAAGAATGTGAAAGTGTTTTTGGAATCAGACAATGGCAGAGGCTGGAAGAATTTTGTAGAACTAGCTTTTAAGAGGCATATATTTCCTTGAACATACTGGTAGTAGAAATATGGATGAAAACTCTGCCAGCAACTGAGGCCTCAAGAAAAAAGGTTCATAGTAGAGAAAACTTCTGTCATCTTAGAGAGCACATAAATCACCATAGATAGGCTGCTGATAGAAAAATGAACATTGAAAACGCTACCAGTGAGGATGAAAAAGGATATGAATGAAGGATTGTTGAAATTTTGAGGAAAGGATATTCTTTGTATACAGTGGTAGAAAACTTAGCTGAATTGTGTACCATGGATATGTGAAATAATGATCTTAGGTACTTAGCTGAGGAGATGCTAAGCAAATTTGAAGATGCATCCTGGATTATTCTTGCTACTTACTGCAAAGTGTAAGGGAACGATAATCAGGACTCAACCTCAGACAGTTGGGCTCATAACCCTGGGTATTAATCACTCTGGCCATGCTGAAAAGAGCTTATGATGTTTGAAAATAAAGACCCCAGTGCAGATAATCTATTCTTTTGGTGCCAGTAGGAGCCAGGAACCTACAATTTAGTCAGCATCTGCAATCATTCTGATGACTGACGATCACCCTCAGAAACAGTAAAAGATTCACAATAGTAACACTACGTTATTGAAAAAGTCCTCGGGCAAGAACACACTGGAGATGCCATTATGTAGTAGCTACATTCGCAACACCAGCACATCAAACTGTTTTTATTCTTTTTTTTCTTTGCTTGACATTAGTTTAAGCTACCAAGTGATAGGTGGAATGTTAGTTTCATTAACTTGATTTCCTGATGGAATGGTTAACTAAATGAAGAAATGCTATAGTTTGGACCCTCTCAAAGGCCCACGTGTAAATCTTGGTCCTCTGTGAACTACAGAGGTGGTAGAATCTTTAAGAGGTGGGGCCTAGTTAGAGGTCTTCAGGCCTCAGGGGATGCGCCCTCAAAGGGGATGGTGGAAAACCCAGAACCTAGTTACCCCTCTCCCTCTCCTGTCTCCTCTCTATTTTCTCTTCTGACTTTTCTCCTCTCTCCTCTCTCCTCTTCCTGTCACTTTCTGACCATGAAGTAAATAGTTTTGGTCTGCTGCATGCTCTTGCTAAAATGTGCCACCACTCACCCAAAGCAACTGGTCAATCACTCATAGTCTGAACAGTATAAATCTGTGAGGCAAAATAACCCTTTTCTCTTTATAAGTTGATTATCTCAGATATTTGTTTGACTAAGGCAGATAGTATGTTTTCACATTTAGTAGAAGGAAAGAAGGAGATAAATAGGGAGGGAAGACAGAAGATTGTTGAACCAGAGAAGCAAAGCATTGTAAGTATGTCCATTAAAGCTATTTATAGAAGAAAATATTAAGGAAAATATACTCAAGAAAATTTCTCCCAATGCTTCAAATGTCATAAAGATTGTCTTATCCTCTTCATTACCTGGAAGAATGATTTAAATATAAACATTGATTAAATGAATACCTGCTATAAATACTTGAGCATTCTTTAACATCTGTTTCTAGACATTGTATGTATAATCATGTCCAAAGCCACTGAGACTGGAGACCCCAAGCATCTTCTCAGCAGTACAGGTGACACCTGTCACAAGGAATTACTGCACAGCTGAACTGAAACAGTTAAAAAATTACATTCTGGACTGGGGGTGTATTACAACTGTAGAGTACTTGTCCAGTACCCACAAGGTCCTGAGTTCATCCCCAACATCACAGAAAGAAAAAAATAAAAGTGAAAACAAAAAATCATAGCCTTAACAAAACATTACTTTTAAAAGAACACACTTGCTAAAAATTAGAAACCTTCTTAACATGGTCCTTAATTTTTTAACTTTAAAGTTTTTTTAGGTGCTATGGATTGAAATCCAAAATCTTGTGCATTTTAGGCAAATACTCTACAACTAAGATATATCCTCAGTCCTGACATTTTAAGAAATATTCCAACATAACGGGACCTGTGCAAAGAGACCTTTTCTACTGACCTGTAGCAAAAGAGCATCATCTCTGTAAAAAAGATTAGTTTGCAACTTTTGAAAGAATGATAACATAAAAAATTTTAAGTACATTTTAGGGAGTAAAGGATCCTCTTTCATTTTAAGAGAGAAAACCTTTCCTGACTCCTATGGTATACTTATAGGTTTAAAATA